CCTCGCGCGTCTCCTTCATCTGCGCCTCAGTCATGGAGGGCAACAGCAGGATCTTATGAAGACAAGCCGGATGTGAGCCAAAACAAGCTGCAGTGGCACATCGTTCAGGTTATTCGGTGCCTCATGTATCAATCACGCTCCGCGAGCACGAAGCATTCAGCATCTTTCAGCCATCGTTTAGTTGTTTACGATCACACCATCCCTCTTCAGACTCTGCCATCGAGAAATGGCTGTGCACATGGCCTCTGATTCTCGCAAAATTACCCTGCTCTACAATGAGATGCATGCTGCACACTTTGCGAAAACTGCTGACAGGGACTGCAGTCCAGAGCTCGGAGCTCGTGCATTGCTTCAAGCTCCTCTTCTGCGGAATCGACGGCTTCGCCGAGGTACTCCGTACTTGCGAATCGCCCCGTGCCTTGCAGTAGAGGCAAAAATGCCCTTTGCCGTCCACGATTTACATCTGTCTGCGAGCACAATCTGTTTTGGCTGGGTGGCTGGGGGAGCGGCATTGACTGACAGCGGCTTCCTGCAAGGCGTGTCACTCGCAAGACCACCTGCAATCAGTCACTACTCTGGTATCTCGACTGCCCTTCGCAGTCCTCGTCGAGGTATCGCCCACCCCCTGAAGTGGAAGGGAAACACTGAACAGATCTGAACACCTCTGAACACACTCTCTCTAGCTGCCTCAGCGACCCCTCTCCCCCTCGACGCTTCTCTGGACGCGCGCACTGTCCTGGCATCAGAAGCTGCGCGCTGGCAAGAGACGATGCCGGACCGAGCCTGGCGTTGCTTTCTAGTTTCGCCTTCCAGGGCATGCATGTGTATGGGTGTACAGATCTGCTCGCGTTTCTGGGCCCTCTTTCGCCTCACGGCCACGCGGACTGCGCGGCATGGGCAGAGTATGTGAGGATCGTGAGGTTGACCTCTCCTCGCATAAACGAGGCGAGCTGGCCGGCCCCGCTCACGCTTCGTCAGCGCTCCCTGTTGGCACCAGCGGGGCGGACCAGCGTCGCCTCTCTCCATGGCCTCTGGGAAGTTTCAAGCCAAGAAACGCAAACTTTATCGCCTTCGGGGGGGGCCGTCCTTCGCACGTCGTCTGCACGGCCTGTTTCAGAAGATTCCGAACGATTCCGCAGCTGGGTGGCCGCGGTGGCCAGTGCCTCTGCGCCGTGGCTCACTGTGGCTCCGATGTTCGCCAGGGCGAGGTTGGGCAAAGCGCGGGCGGCCCTGCACGGCACGAGGCCACGAGGCGATGCGCGACTCGAACCCGTTTTGAATTCATTTTAGACTCGAAACAGAGTCGCAGTTCGAATGCAAGCTTCGTGACATGTGCTTGCATATGGCGGCCGTGCAGCACCGAATCCGACTAAACAAACTGCTAGACGGCGAAACTGGTTTCGGCAAAGATCGCGTGCTGAAAAGAGCTGCGCGAACTGAGCCCCCGGATCCCCTGGCTTGATCGCTTAACACCCCAGAAGTGCGTGTCTCGTTCTCGTCGAAAATTGCCATGGATCCAAACGCACCAACTCCGCTTGAAGCTAGAGGCAACGACAGACCAAGTTTGCAATCTGCTGCAGCGGTAGCACGCTCTCGATAAGAGTCTTATGTCTTATGGCACAACAAGTTGCATTGCTTCGGGAGCAAACTCGACTGCTACGCGAACAAGCTTGTGATCAACGCAGCAAGGCCCAATGCTTTCCCCTTCCCCGACAGGTCCTTGACAGTCTTGATCCACAGCTCAGGACAGTCGTGCTCAAATGGAGGCAAGATTTCACGGAGGACATCGCGGCCACTTTGCTATTCATTCATTCATTTAAATCTTCAAACTTATGAAGCAGTTTTAGGAAGAAGCATTGTTGAGCATCAAAAAACTTGAAGTTTTTCGAGCAGGGCATAGCCCCTTCTAAACTTCTAAAGCTGCAGAAGCAATGCACCTCTATTTCAGCATGGCGTTTCCTAGTACAGCACTCCGGAATCGAATTGAAAGCTGTATGCCGAGCTTGTCCTGCGTGAAGAGGTGCCGAAAGTCAAAAGTCTGGCAGCAACGACTCAGAGCGAGACAGAAGGGAGCACGGATTGCTGGAAGCAGAGACAAAGTTCGAGAAGGCGGATCCCCAGCAGTCCCAGCAGTTGATTGCGATGATCGAGCTTGACAGACCAGCGAACTTGCAGCCCAGTGTAGAGAAAAGCTTATTCAGACATCATCTCGCACAAAACTGGCACACGCCAGCAAACGTGCCTTAAGTAGTTTCGAACTCTTCGCATCTTCACACAGACGTTTGAGGCGGATGGGAGGATCTGCGCTTTAACCTCAAAACAGAGTCGCAGTTCGAATGCAAGCTGCGCGAAATGTGCTTGCATATGGCAGCGGTTGAACAAGCCGCTAGACGGAAAGACTAGTTTCGGCAAAGATCGCGTGACGACTGTGCCCGATGGCTTGATCGTTTTGCACCCATCCGACGTGCCTGGCTCGGCTGGAGCTCCTGGGACCGGGCACGCCGGGACGAGGCGTCGCCTCAAAGCGGCCGGGACGCTTCGAGGCGCTCAGAGCTCGGAGTGTCGTTGGGGAAACCACTTCGATGCGAGGAGACAGAGACTTCCCTTCCCAACCTGCAGGGCAGACATGTTTGTTGGATGATTTTTTGAAAGATCGCTCTGGATCTTGTGATGAAGCCCCCTCAGATCCATGCCTTCAAACCAGCAACACAGCTCATCCATTCTGCCCCAGTTGCCTTGGGCTTCGGGCTGCGATTTGTCCGCGGACCGATTGAGCTTGCAGCTCCTTGACAAACAGTGGAGGCTGCTTCAGCTTCAATGGCAACAGCAGCCAGCTCTACAAATTTCGACAATCTACCCGACTAAGCACAATACTGGGCCTTCGTAGTTTTGCTGTCCCCGGACACTTGATACAGCGCGCGAGGTTCATGGCTGCAGGTTCTGAAGTGTTCCTACTTTCTGCTCAGACATTTTGCCAGCATGCGCGGTCTCGCCGGCAAGCTTCGCTGCGCAAACTCATCAACTCACCATCAACTCACCCTGAATGGAGCCCGGGAGATTCGAAGTTGCGGCACGCAGATCATGTAGGGAGAAAGCGGATGGAAGTGCCTGGTCCCCGCCCTGCAGCGTCGGTCAGACGGAGCTCTGCTTGGGGGCTGCCCGGCCAAGAGCACAGATCGCCAGAAGTGTGGCCACTGCCAGGGGCTGTGGTCAAGTCTACGACCACTCCTCGTCAGAGATCCAAGATGTAGCGAACGTTTTCGAGGGGCGCAGTGGACGTACTAGATGCTATGCCGGTGATGTTGCGCCATATCAGGTCCAAAGTTATACGTGGTGTAGTGCTGTGCAGCCATTCCCGAACGAAATCCACAGGTATTGCGGGCGGCGTCACACGCTCCAGTCCTCGTCGAGAGACTTGCACTCACTAGTCCAACATGAGCTCAAGAAGAACGCTTGCTTGAGGATGTCTCCTTTTTTTGTGTCGGTTCTTGTCCTCCCTGCGCGAATGTGTTCAACCTGTAGGATTATCTATCACCTCAAACCTCGCAATCCGTAAAGTCTTTCATGATGCCATTGCATTCATGCCTGTCTGAAAACCAGTCGTTGACTACGTAGTCCGCCTTGTTGAAACACCCTATAGCCTTATTCTAACAGCCCACGGTACCTGTCCTCGTGAGTGATCCCCACCCAGGCTTCGATCGGCCGCATCTGCAGCGTGAAGGAAGCGCGAGCGCTGGTAGCAGTCCAGCTCATCCACGGGGAAGAGCAGTGGATAGCGCGTCCACGGAAACAGCGTTCCTTGTGTGACACTTGATTTCCACACCATCTGACCACAGGAACAGCTCACAAAATGCGAAAGAGACTGCGTGAGCGTGTGTCTGTGTGCGATAGAAGATGTGCTTGGTTAAACTATAAACTGCAATCTTGTCAGGGTTCCGGCTGGAAGGGACTCGAAAAGGGACAGGAGCTTGGAGTGAACGAAGACCGTGTCTTGCTCAGTGTAGACAAGAAGATGGTAGTTTGGCGACAATATGCGCAGCTGGTATGCCAGCGAGCACCCTGTTAGTCCGTGCTCCAGCGGGTCGTCAGAGCTAAACGCCCTGGCAAACTTGAACGGAGGAGGCACCAGAGGTTGTGATTCGAGGACGATCACTAGTGCCTCAACTTTCAGGAGGAGCGCAACCAACACGTCACAGTCGTAGGAGTCGATGTCTATCTTGCAGGAGAGCTGCAGACTAGGGCCTAGGGTCAGTGAGGTTTGGGGAAGTCAGGTTTGACTGCCACATTGGCCTTAATGATGTCCACCACGCCCCGGAATGCATCTGTGAGGATCTCGTCCAACTCCCCTGCGTCAATGTCAAGCGGAGTTGTGGCTTTGTTCAAAGCATAGAACTGAGACGGCACCGACTCTGCTTGAGCTCGCTTGTCATGTAGCTTAGAGAGCGCATGCTGTAGCCTGCTCATATCCGAGTCTATGAGTAGAACTTGCTGTGCAAGCATCCCCATCCACAGGTCGAGGGGATCGTCCTGGTTGCAAAGCTGGTCGCTCGAGCTGCATGTTGGGTAGGAATCGATGCCAGCTCCAATGTTGATACCACGAAAGCTCCACTCAAACGGAAAAAGGGATGACGGCAGCCTGTAAAGAACGTCAAACAAGCGATGAATCAGGCGGCCGCTGCGGATGTAAGACGCAACAGACACCACAGAGTCAGCCTGGCAGTGCAAGGCCGCGTGGCTTCCGAACCTAAGCCTATGGTTTGCGTTGTGGCTCGCACACCCAACGGGCGGCTTCATACGTTCGAACTGTTTGGCAAAGCTGTCGGTAATCACCTGCGCTTGCCACTCTTCGGTTTCCACGGCTCTCTGCTCCAAGTCAAAAATGTCTGAGTGCACAGTCCAGTGTCCAGTTGCGTTGCAAACCAGAACTCCTCGAGCCATGAATTCGTCGGGATGCTTCCCCCAGAGGGTTGGGGTCACCAAACCGGGCTCCACCAGTGGAGCTTCGCAGCGAGCAGTACGAGCAATGTCGAAGAGTGCATACACCCAAAGCCACCGCGAGCCTTCCATGCTTTACGAAAAAAATTGGATCAGACATCCTGCAGCGGATGCCCCGCCTTGGGACATTAGCTACATGCACTGCACAGCCAATGATGCTTCCTTGGACAACAGCGGTACAAAGGCGAACTAACTCAAGTCCATGTGTGTTCTGTCAATCCCTGGAGGCCCTAGAACGGTCCCGGTGTCACAGCTCTCCTGGCTCTCAGCCTCCCAGAGCTTTCGTCGCCTCGCCCATCGTCACAGAGACGGTAATGGTCATGGAACCAAAACAAAACACTCCAGGATCCGCCGACACGAAGAGGCGCCTCTCCACTAGCGATTCTTCTCTTCTGGCTGCGTCCTTGACGCAGAAATGCCAGGCGGCTGGGGAAAGGGTAGGAAGTTGCGCAGCTTCGAAGCCTCGTAGAGGTGGAGAACACCACGGGGAGATGTGGGCGCACCGGGCGCACCCACACCTCAACAAAGGAAGCTTTGGGCCTTTAGGCTTTGCCTCCTTTGCCTCTGGCCGCGGCCTGGCTGCGCTGCTGCTTTAGCCTCGTTGTGGGCCTCTGGTGAGAGATGTTCGAACGAACCAGCACAAAGGATAAAGGCGTGAAAGAGACATATTTCTGGAAGCGGCCAAAGCCTGGAGCGCTCGCGTCTGCTTCCTTTCCTGTCTCTGCTTAGACTCCTGCGCGACGCGTGCGACGCGTCAAAGCTCCAGCCCCGCATCTCTTCGCTCTCTTCGCTTCAGGGCCTCGAAGAGTCGGTCGCCAAAACCGGCAGCATCGCCGTCTTTGGACTGTCTGTGTACCGACATTGCCCGCAGCTCCTTGGGTTCCCACACAACGGATCACAAGATCACTGGACAGACAGGCCTTCAACTCTTGCTGCAGCTTCTGCTCACCTCGGAAGCAAATACGCGCATTCTCGGTCGAAACCAACTTGATGCCTGCCGCTGGGTAGTCGACGCTGTTCGTTGATCCGCTGTGCCCGCAGCTGCGCATCTGTGTGAAGCTTTTCAATGGCATCGAGCGCCTGCGTCACTGCCCAATGATTGCAGCTTGGCTCAGGCGAAGCAGCCAGGCTTTTCGGCCAGCATAGTAGGAGATGTGTTTAAGCTTCAGTCCCACCCCATGCCACCATTTCCCACTTTCTACTACTTGCCACTGGTACTGCTACGACTACGTACACCAAGGATCCTTGCTCCCCTGCCACTCTATCTCCACCTCCTAGCCTAGCACTCACTACCACGACGACGACTACCCTAGCAGACAAAAATGCGGTTCTGCACACGACATGCCTCGGCGCTACGCTCCTATGCTTATGTTTATGTTTCCTGAAGACGAAGGCGACAGGCTCCGTCATGGTAGGAAGCATCCACGAGAAAGCTAGACGACCAACTTGCGAGTTCCATCCCCTTCGCTCAAGGCTCAATGCTGTCGGACTTGCAATGTTTGGACAAGGCTGTTCATAGCCGCCCGGGTGAGCATGAAGGAGATTGGATCGTTCTGCCGGAGAAGATAATCAATGCGTGTTCGGAGGGGAAAGCGATGCCAACAGACGGCTGATTTCTAGAAGGGTGAAAGATGATGGTAGAGTCTGGTTGGGGCAACCGAAAGCACAGCTGCAGTCGGCAATCTCTCTGGAGCCATGAGCTTCCCAAACTTCTTGAGGATCCAGCCACTTTTCTCTCCACCTTGTGAAATCTGTTCCTTGGATCCAGAGTATGTGCTCTCAGTGCAGCAAGAGGGGAGCTTGCAAGTTCCAGTTGAGCTCTGCGCTCCGAAATTTGCCGCCGCTCTTCCAAGTCCTTCTTCTTCGTGATCTCCTCCCTCAAGGCCATCCTCCCGGTCACGGCGGAAAAAGCTGAGTGCTTTTCGATCTTCACAGGGGCCGACCTGCACAAAGTGGAGAGAGTATGTGTGGGTGCCGCGAAAATGTGCATGTGCTTGTCCGAGGCATGCCTACGCTCGTGGGCACAACGGTGGGCTTGGAGGAACTTCGCAATGGATCTGCACGAGCAAGTGCGAAGGGGCTCAGATCATGCTCCTGCAACATGGAGCATGATGTCTTATGTCGCTTGATTCAGCTGCCGCATGCATAAGTAGATGTCGATGCACAAATGTCAGCATTGCCTGCGCCGATGGTCGTCGTACAGAACTGAGAACCGCTCACTCCGGCCCTAGGTACGGTCAAACTGACAAGACATCACGACTGCAGTCAGTTCCATCCAGTCAATCCGGGGCACAAGCCTGGGACTCCACCAGCTCCCTGAAACACAACACACAGCAAGCAGCGAGAAATAGCAAGTTGCCTTGAGCAGCACGGAAAGGATTACATTACGTGCGCGAAATCCTGTGATGTGCATTTGTGGCCTGTTTCCATGACACCTATCTCGTTCCTGCTTTGCACGCCATGCACCGGGCTTACAACTTGACAGATCTATTCGTCGTTGCTTGTCTGGCACACTCGCAGCTTGGATTGCTTGCAGGCCTTGTCTTCGGCGAAAGACTCGGTGCAAAGCTGTAGATCCGGGCAAGAAGCTTCTCGTTCTCCTACGATAAGGAAACTGACCAGGGCGGTCTCGGAACACAGGTTGAAATGCTTCCCCATCCCGCCTGTAAGGCCGCCTGGCGCTTCTCCTGACGGCTGAACAAAAACACTCCGAGTACTTGCGGTGCCCGACTGGACCTAATCCTGTCATAAACTTGTCCGGCTTCGTTTGTTCCAGCTTTTTTGGTGGGGTGGCGGGTGCCTGCCGCTCTTGGTGTTGCGAGTGGAGCTTGGAGGCGATGAGCTGCACCTCCAAAGCGAGAGGACCCGCCTGGACACCGCATGTGCGCCCCTCTGCCTCTGCCGGAGCGGCTTGCCTCTGACAGCACCAGGCCGCCAACGTCGGTGGTGCACACAGAGAAAAAGACACAAACCACACAGCGCAGCTGCTAGGCACCGCCTTGGCTTGTGCTCGGATCTAAGAGACCTCTCGCGGTCTTCGGCCTCGCAAGCTTTGCTTCTCTTTTTGCTTGGTTGACGGAGCTTTGAGCTCTGCGTTTTGGCACTTCGGACATCTGTGTGATCTTCTGCTCCAAGATCGCCTGCTTCAAGGATCTCTCCACCAGCTCTGTGCGTTTGTCGTTCAGCTCCTTGTGCCTCGGTTGGCCGAAACACTCTGCCCCTTGCCGGATGTTGTCGAATCCAGGCTTGCGTGCAGTTGGTGCAATCTGTGCCAGATTGGGCCCTGCTTCGTGGGAGACAGGACCGAGCCTGGCCTCGGATTCTTCACACTCGATTCAATCATTCGGCAACTGTCGGGTCCCTCGCAGTGTCCGGCTGCTTGCCCGTTCCGCCGCCTGCTACCCCAAAACTAGCATAGTTTGCTCGAGTGAGTTTTTGTCACTTGTGCCTCCTGCGCTCTGCGGGCTTCCCGGAGGTCCTTGAGCCTGCCCAACCACGTGCTTGGATCGTCCCCTCCCCCATCTCTTTCTTTCGGTTGTTTTGCAGTCGTTCATCTTTCTCTTTTTTCGCCAGGGCGCGCCTCTCTCTTTCTTTCGCAAGGGATAAAGAGGAAGGAGCGACCTTTCTCTTTACCAGGCATGGGGCACAAAGCGGTGCAACCTCGAACTCTGCACGCGAATGCAAACCTGCAACATCCAGCAGGTTTTAAAGGTTTTTCTTGCGTCTTCGCCCCGAGAAGGCTTGGCTGTACTTGGGCCGGAGTCAAGGTGGAGGCAATTATCCGCTCTCTCTCTCTGTTTGTGTCTCTCTCTCTCCCTCTGTCTCTTCTTCTCCAGGGCATGGGGAGTCGGTTAGACCCCCCGGCCAGTAGGCCCCCCAAATTTTATGGGGTTTTCAGGGGGTGTGAAAGGTTTGCATGTAAATCGAAGGCTGGTGTACTCCCCCGACCCACACACTCAGTACTTCAATTAGTTCCGTACGCAATCCCTTTCCCGTTCTTGTAACCTCTATATCAAGGGGATTCAATTGTTGCTGATCCTTCCTTTCATTCATAATAACTTGATCTTTGAACACTGGCAACATGTCTTGTAGTGTGTATGTACTTCACTATGTCGCCGTTCTTGCCACAGTCAAGATCTTTGAGTTGATAAAGTCCCCCGTCCAGTCCAGTGTGGTGGTAGAGGACACGAACCTGGGTCACCTGAAAGAGAAAGTCCTTGATCAAGTACTCTGTCTCCTCCTGGGCAAGAAGACCTGTACAATAGCTGTTGTGGTGCTTGAGACATGGCCTTGGCGGCCGTCTTTTACTATACGCTTGGCTTGAGATTGCGCCGACCGCGCCGCAGCACGCAACTGGCTGATGAGTCTGTCCGGCCGTGCACAACTAAAGCTCCTAGCGCTGGGTGTGACACCCCTTTCCTTCACACCCCCAGTACGTTGTGCCAGCAGGGGAATCAGCTTTACACTCCCTGCCATCCGAAAGCCCAAAATTGAACGAACACTCACACTCCTGAGAATTCTCTTTGAGCTCGCTCTGCGGTCTCGGTCATGGCATCGCTCTCTTTCTCTCTGACTAAACTTGACTGAAGGCACATTGCTGGGTGGCAATCACATCTCGCTGACACATCTTGCATTGTTGCCTCGGCTTCTGCACACGCAGACTTGATAAGTTCGGGTAGGAAGCCTTCGCCGGCACTCCTAGCAGAGGCAGAGTCGAAGGACGCGCGGTTGTGCCGTGCTCCGCTCTCCTGTCCAACGTCCGCCACTCGGACTCGCCACGCTCGCCGCGCTCGCCACGCTCGCCATGCTCGCCGCGCCTGCCACGAGGCTGCAAAAGAGAGCATCACCGCCATGGGCCATGAGCTCGGGCCGCTGCTCTGCGGACTCTCAGGGGACCTGCATCGCAGACTGCCACGAAGAGTCAGATCTCACAGACAGGAGGCCGCTCCTCCGCCGGCGGCTCGAAAGTGACTCGAAGGGGCTCGTCGACCCGGGCCTCGGCAGACGGGGTCTCGAGTCTTCCAGCTCGTCCTCAGCTCGTCGTTTCGTCCGCCTCCGGCGGATTCGCTGCTGCCTCGGACAAGCAGCGTGGCGTGCCCGGCATGGGCATCAACTCATTCAACCCGAGGCACTTCTCTCGAATTCGCAGCTTCCTCCAGCTTGGACCTTGTCAGAGTTGCAGCAATGACAGCCCATCAGCACCAGGATTTTGAGGAGCGGGCTCGCGATCTACCCCCATCGAGCCCGTCCTCACAGGTCGCAGCGGAGCTAAGGCTCTGCACCTGGCCTTTCGTAGCTCCTCTCCCGCGCCAGACCGCTCAAGCTGCAATGGCAAAGACGGTAGTGGTAGGCCCTGCAGGCCCTGGCTGTGGCCCTCCTCATCCGAAATGCAGGCAGAGGCAGAGCATCATGACAGAGCTGTGCCTGCGACCCAGGAGAGCCCACCTCCGCTTCCGATCGATCAGCCTGCGAAAGGAACAGGCCTTTCTGGCTCCCTCTCACGAACTCCGAAGTGTCCGACCTCACCAGGCTCAGATGGCTCATCTGCCTCGTCAAGTCGCCAAGCACACCCTCCACTGCTCCACGATCTGATGCCGCTTGCCTCCTCTGCTGCCTCGGAGACCTGCCGTAAAGCTTCCTCGCAGAGCGAGAAAAGTGGGAGTTGGAGTCGAAAACTCTCCAGCCCTTCGCCTTCGCATCTTCTCCGGTGTGCACGGATCGTTGCTCTCTGTGGGCCCCTGGCTGCCAAGAAGCATCAAGAAGAAGCTATGGCTCGGTCCAAACGCTCTCTTTTGGGGCCTCCAGGCCGTTGATCGGCATTGGGACTGCTTGGCTTCGAAGCTCCCGACGACTGTCAGCCATGCAATCGGGCAGATGGACAGTGGAGACCGATCTCACGCAGCACCCGCAACCGAAGACAGGCCGAGACCTTTACATTGTGCATACGTGTAGCCGAGAACAGCCCAAAGCCAAGTGCCTTCAAGGGAGAGGTTGTGGCAGTCGCAGTCGCATCGGCTGGCTCCTCGTGGCAGCGACTGGGGAGACACACAGCAGGAGC